AATTATGTGTTTTTTTAACATCAGATAATCACAGCATTGGCAGACCTAAGTTAAAAGTGTAAAAGGCCTTGTTGAATTGTTGATTGATACTAGGATTTTCGATTTTCGTCCGTGGTTGGGATATCGGGAAAGGTGTTCGGTAACTTATAGCCAGTGTTGCCAGAGCACTCTGAAGGAATGCAATAGATAAACTTTTAAAATTGTAATAAATTTCAAGAAAATTAATAGAAATTATAGTCAACGTAAAATGAGCTATACATAAAAAATAGATTCATTGTATTGATAGGTATTGATAATTAATGTTTTATGTTTTTAATAAACATTTTAACCTATTTATTGATAAGAATAACGACAGTCTTTCAATTATTATTGTCATAATGCAGCAATAGGATATTTTTGTTCCACATTCTTATAATTGTAGGTTTGTTGAAATAGCAGACTCGTTCTGAATTTATCTACGCATGAGTAGTACCTGTAAATAAATTCAAAACAATTATGTACTGGGGTTGAAACTTGAAACAAACCTTTTATAAAGAAAATGAAGGAAAAAGAAATTGGGCCTCCAAGGTCTAATGATATACGAAACTTTTTAAGCGCTTTGGGCATGCTCAAGAAAATATGTTTGGGATAAACCTAATCAAATAAACATGTTTGGGATGCTATTAGTTGTATGAAATAATAAACAATATATTAGGAATATTTAAAATTAAGACACACTGGTTAGGTTCAAGTTCATTAATTGTTCGAAGCTCGTGAAAATGTAATAGATTTATTGGACATGTAATAATGTAATAGATTTGTTACAATTGTAACAAACTAGCAACACTGCTTATAGCACAAGTGGAAGTTGGAAAGGCTTTTGCCAGTTCTCCCACTTTATACACATAAATTGACAGGTTTTCGGCCGTACATTGGCGTACAAAATTATTTTATAGATGTTGATAATAATTTTGAGTAAATAGTTTAATAAATTGTGAATAGCTGTTCAAATTTTGTAAAATTATGATTTTAATATTATAAAACATGTTTAAGGTCACAATTTCACTGTATTTTTCCTATAAGAAGCAAGGGTTCGCCATTTCCGATTACATTTAAATCCCGCTAAATATATTAAAATGAATCTTCTACCAGCTTAAAGTATAAGGTCTATTATGTGAAATAAACAGGTTAAAGAAAGAAATAAATTCTACATATTATACAGAACGTTACAATAATTTAAAAAAAGAGTATCAAAAAATAACAAAACAATATTTTGAGAAGGAAAAATAATGATCGTATTTTAAAAAGTAATAACGTAATGAAAGAATCCTGGAATATAATAAACGAGAGTAGGGGGAAAAGAAAAAACAACTTATTGAATCCTATTAAACTTACAAATGATGACAAATTAACACCCTTAGAAAAAGTAAATTATATCAATGACTATTTTATTAATGTAAATAAAAATAATATTGTACCTAACTATACTATGAGTATTGATAAACATTATAAAAGTTGTTTCTTTTTCCAACAACGCCTAGTGAAATCATCACTATAATCAAAAAAACTACTTCTAAACCCACTGAAGGTATTGACGAAATCTAAAGGAATTTCTGTTTATAAAAATAAGGGATCTGCATCTAATACAGAAAATTATCTTTTAATCTGTATATCTAGTCAAATAACTAAAATATTTGAGTCAGTATACTTTATTAGACTCACTAATTACCTTGAAAGTTTTAATATGTTGCCAGATACTCAAAATGGATTTAGAAAAAATAAGTCAACATCTACTGCAATTGCAGCTTGCCTATAGTTTATATATCAAGTAGTCAATGATAAAAAACATATTTTTGGACTCTTCTATGACCTTAGCCGTGCATTTGATATGCTGGATCATAATCTTTTATTATTGAAGATGAATGGGTTAGGAATGGTATGAATGGATACAGTCTTACTTAATAAATCGAACTCAATAATAACCTGCACTCACATGATACTAGATTAAAATTTAACATCCATCATCCTTTTTCACGACTACAAATAAGTCATTATTCACCAAAATATATTGGGATTAAGTGTTACAATAAGTTCAGTAACATATTAGAAGATACTACAGGTTATCATCAAATTAGTCGTAATGATTTAAGAAAACATCTTAATGATTTTCTTGTAAATAATGTATTTTATAGTATAGAAGATTTTTTGAACTTTTAAACAAATCTTAACATGAAATGTTTATTATATATATTTTATTTTATTTTTTAATCTATTTTACTTAACACTTTTTTGACTAGTCTGATAGGATTTTACATTATGTACCTAGTGTCTTTGTATAGTGTATAATTCTCAAAGATGAATAAATTCTATTTCTTTTTCTAAGCTTTGCCAGTGGCTTACGTCATGGGCAAATAACACCATTTTCCCTTCTAAATTTTAGTCCACTGTCCAAAAACTTTTGATGTTTTTCAAATAAAGTTGAGTTAGTTTTTGAAATATTCGCACATATTTGGAAATTCTGAAATTTTTAAATTTCCATTTTTTTATTAAATTTCTAAGAATACATTATTTATTTAAAAAAAATCAAAAAATTAAAAATTTTATGTCCAAATAACTTTTTGGATAGGGACGTAAAATTTAGGAGGGATGCGGTATTACGTACCATTGCTGTACGTCACTGGAAAAGTTAATTAAGGTAACTAATTTTTTTGCTGATAGGTGGATATTATGACACCAAAAATATTGCCGAATTTAGTAAAATTGTTATAAGTTATAAAAAAAATATACAGGGTGTCCCGAAATTAGACGGTCATATTTTAACAGCGTAATCTACATCCTAAAATAGGAATAAAAGTTCATATAAACTTAGGTCCGAAAACGTTTTGTTTTCGAGATACAGGGTGTTACAAGTGAAGTTCTGATGGCACATTTTTATAAATATTTTCTAAAATTTCCTTTAGTCACCGGTTTTCCAAAGTAAAAAAAAAATAAAATTTCTGATTGCACAGGCACACTAATTATTGTTTACATTTTCGAATAACTTATCATGAAATGTTCAAACGCTTTTTTCTTAAAAATGGTACGTCCTAGAGAGATGCAACAACTTTATTATAAAGAAAACATTGGTTCTCCAAATTTTATAGTCAAAAATGTTAAAAACTGTCAACAAAAAAAACTTAGGACAATTTTACCCTAAGCCCCCCTAATTTACCCACCTATGAAGATGATCAAAAACTGGGGTTTAGTCCATTAAATAGAGCGTAAAAAGGTAAGCAATTGTACCAAATTTCATTTAGATATCTTAAAACGTTTCGAAAATATTTACAGAAGTGTGTCATCAGGACTTCACTTTTAACACCCTGTATCTCGGGAAAGAAACGCTTTCGGACCTATGTTTATATGGACTTTTACTCCTATTTTAGGATGTAGATTGCGCTGTTAAAATATGACCGTCTAATTTTGGGACACCCTGTATAATCTGGTATCTTTGATGATATTCGTTTCCTGCTTCCTCTATTGCTAACTTTCTGTAGTTTTCACACTCACTTGTGCAAGGCGTATTGGAAGAAGTACGCTAGCCGATACTGTATAACGTTATATATTCCTTCTGCTATCAGCACTCCTAGTATAAAAACTTAAAAATTGAAGACATGAGTTAATGAAGGGCCTATGTAACAAAAACATACTTGAGTTTAAATTCTCTTATTTGAATAGTTCATTATAGAAAATAGGTATGTATCCTCTGGTAATGTCTTTATTTAAAAAAATATTATGAAAGAGGAACATAGAATGAATTTTGGATACAAAGGCCCTTTAGGCCTCTTAGGCCCTTTATCCACTTATGTCTTCAATTATTCTCTATTTTCTTTACTAAATAAATATAATCATATAATAAGAAAATAAATTCAAACCTGTACTTAGAGGATTTATCTATGAGTGCATTATGAACGACACCACAGTGTAAAATCAATTTATGTATTTATTATGGCACTTAGGCCAGAACAATTACGGATTCAACAGATTTGTGCCCTAGATAATAATCAATAATGGTATGGTATTGGGCAAACGATGCATGAAATATTTAATAAAATTAATTTACGTTATTAGAATATTTTGGTAGATTCTGAATTACAATCTAAATCTTAAATGCATTGAAGAAAATATATTGAGATGAATTTTATGAAAATTACAAAAAAAAAAACCTTAAAGAAAGAAATATTAATAGAACAATAAAAAGAATTTAAGAATTAATTATATAAATTTAAAGAGTCAAGTGGATAAAGGGTCATATCACATTTTTTAAAAAATGATTTTTAAGGCTTAATATTTTTAAAATATAATATATTTTCTGTTTGCTATAGTTCTGATTTCCAATTTTGATAAATAACGGCCATTCATCAGATAGGAAGGTATTATGAGCCACATATCATAATGCAGTTATAAAAATTTATACTTGTTTTTCTCAAAATAATCTTTATCCTCTATATTCACTCGGATTTTCATTTAGTATTTTCAATATTTAAATATTTCAGTAATAATTGGAAAATTTCTATTTGCAGAACATAAAATTGTAAATAAAAAAAAATGTAAAATCTAACTCAATATTAAAAGTTAATTTTGGAAAAACAAAATGAAAAATTACTAATATCAATAAATATATCTTTAATATTTTTTTTTATATAACGATATTGTAGAATGCACAAACAATCACAAAGTAAATATTTTTTAATATCTTAAAAGAAACTAAAGTTATAATTTTAAAAAATTTTCCATTATAAAAGGTAAAGGTAAACCTACAACACATATTTAAGGTTGTCAAATTAAACTACCCATTAAATTTGGATCATTGTAAATCACGAAGGGTATTCATTCTTCTTGAATGTGTCCATTTCGATGAATGAAACAAATTACTTAATTATATGGTAGATACAGATTTTGAATAATTAATTTTATTCATTAATTTGTTTTGTATATACTCATATTTTTACCGAAATATTGATATATTTTCTTTTTTATTTCAGGCAACTAATAGCACCAAATATCGCGCAGAAACATTATTTACCAAACGGAGCAGAATACGAATCAAAACGGGTAAGTCTTAAAATTATATAAACTCTTAAAAATGGTTTTAAGTGGATAAATTTAAGTTTTTTTTATATAATTCGTACTTAGTCACATCCTAAAATTAGGATATAACCATGCTGGAATGCATTTTGTACAAATTTTCAATCATTTTCATAAGTACCTCTAATTGGATGTAATAAGCATATTTTACAACTGACTATGCCTGGACTAGGTGTTGGAAAACCTTAAAAATTTAATATTTTGTTTTAAAAATTCAAACAAGCTTTTCTACAAAATTATTAACAAAATAGCTATACAAAAAACAAAAATAATTCTACTTACTCAAATCATATTTTAACTGAAAATCATTCTTTTACAACTTTGAAATTTTACATATAGAAAATATGGGCATTAAACTAAACACTTGAAATAAATACATTTAAAAATTCAGATAACCTACTAAATGATCAATTAGATATAAATAACTCGCCTTTATTAAATCTCTTTCCTAGTTTTCTGTGAGATAATCCCGGTAATAATACTATCTTATTGTTATCCGATTGACATCATAATTACTTAAGTACCCTTATTTACTTTAAATAGTCAGTTTATTTTGTTATGTTATTGGTGTATTTTCTTAATTACTTTGTTTGGTTAAATTACTTCGCATATATATTGGACACCGAAAAATCTACCAAATTTGGTTTTACTCATATAAGATAATATGGATTTTCATCAAGTAAAGGCCGAGACAATAAATAAGGTATTTAATTGTTTTTTAAATTTTTGAAAATATCAAAAATTAATCTACAGTAGTCTGTAGTCTGTTTTGTACCATTTTCACTTAAAATGATTTAAATTAAACCCCAGTCCCTAGTCGCTTAAATAACTTAATATTCGCAACTTTTCCAGAGATTTTAAACCGTCACGCAGGAAAACTGCTTAATTAAAATGGTTACGGACCTTGCTGGCAATTTTCCGGATCATCTTCTCTTTAAAATTCATAGGTGTTTACGCTTAATGCGTAAATTAGAGGAGATTGGTGGATGATAAATATAAATTTAATTTAGTTTAGGGCTTTTACCTGCAGGAAAACAAACCTAATTCCGCCTGACTATGGCCATTTTCTTGAATATTTTAGCTTAAAGTATGAAGTCAGGGCAGTGAATACAACAAAGTTATAAGCTAATAAGACCTTTTCAAGGGACCATAATACGAGGGGTGTTTAATAACTATCTAGAAGTGTGTAATTCACGAACGAAATTGATCTAATTTTCCAACTAAATTAAAAGATTCGATAACTTATACCAAAATGACCGAATCGATTTGAACTAAATAGAATATCGAGTGACGAAACGAAAGTACAAGGATCACTGAAAGAGAAATAGTGGATTTGGGCTCTCATTCGACACAAAAAAAGCGCATGAGCGAACGTTTTAGTATAAAGGCGAGTACAGATCTGAGCACGTACGCGTATGAGGCAAGCCGAGGACGCATGAATATGCAGATGTTGACGTGTTGCCTCGTTATGTGCGCCGTACGGCCTCGCCCCGGTCCGTTTGTTGGCGGTACATAAAAAGGAGGCAATACGCAGTACGTGCTCAGTCTGAACGGGAAATTTGTACCATACAGTACCGTATATTTTTAGGATTTATTTTGCATGTAGTGGAACCAGGAAAACGCTTTGCTTCTCCTGGATTTAAATAAGAGAGGAAAACGCCAGTTCTATTACAACACCATAAAAAAGAATACCCTTGGCAGGAAATGGGCCATCGATTTCTTTCTGTCCTTTTTTCTTTAATGTGTCGGATAAAATAATAAAACATGCACTCAAATCCGCGACGTCATCCTCATCCTTCATTTTTGTTTTAATTTTACGAATATTCTGGGTATACGGTTTACCCCTCATATACAAATATTTTCTTCCTCAACTCCTTACATGTAAAAATCTTTAGTTCCTTATTAAAATATTTGAGTCCTTTATCTTTCAAACCTGCACATGTAAAAGTGTTGGTTTCTTACCCCTTATGCCTGACTATATTGTAATATTTGATCCATTTACATCTTATGCCTGTTTGTCCCTATATCCCTTAAGCCTCTCCATATTTGTCTCAGAGATCTTTGGATCCATTAATAAATGTGGAAGATAAGTAACACCCGTCACTAAAATAATGCTTTTTTTTAGCACTATTCTCAGCACTCTTGTGATTATAGGAAAACAAATTTTCCAAAGATATATGACTTGTTATTAAAAGTTGATTGGCAATTTTTAAAAGTGTTTGCTCCCGAAATATCTCTTGACTGATTTTAAGGAGGATTTTGTTTCCTTAAATATAGATACATGATTCATCCTTTCTTACCAATCCATTTGGAAATACTCCAAGGTCTTGCCTGATATTTAAAAAGGGTGATAAATCGGGCGTTGCACAATATCGTAAAATTTCCATTATTTGTATTTCCTGTAAAGTTACTTTAAAACAACATTTCTCACCATGTCAGTAATATGATATCGACAGAATAACATGGATTTATGGAAGGTCTTTACAAATCTTATTGCTATAACCCACTACATTGTAGAAAATAGAGGCAATGGAATTCAAGCGGATGTAATATATACACCGACTTTTCCAATGCGTTCGACCGGCTTGATCACAGTATCATGTTAAAAATAAACTTCTACACTCTGGCTTTTCCCAACCACTGATGAATTTATTTAGGTCTTATCTTTCCAGAGGAAACCAATATGTTTAGGTTAACGGCTTCAAGTCTACTCAATATCTGGAAACTTTCTATATTCTGCAAGGTTCTAATCTTGGTCCTTTGTTATTTAAAATATTTATTATTGATAGAAGTAATATTTTGGATACATACACAAACTTTTTTATACAATATGATAATAATTTAAATTTGTTTTATTTTGTTGAAACTGTTAAAGATAATCTACAAATTAATGAGTGGTGTTTTAAAATAATCTTCTTAAGCCCAAAGTTATTCTTTTTCCCGACTCTAATTCTTTTCTAAATTGGTATAGATTTTTTTGAAAATAACATTGACTTCATTCATATCACTATCGGATTGTAATATTAATAAACGCTTTTTTTGAAGTGTTCTTTTACAAAAAAAAATCTTAATTTTTTTTCATGTTGTTCAATCAATTAGTATATTTCTTAATTAATTATTTTATATATTTTTGTATTTTTTTGTAATTGGGTCTTGACTTGATGAGTAATGTAATAATAAATATCAAAATATTTAGTTTCATTACCAATAACGCCTATTCATGTACTAATATTTGAGCAGTACAATCACCAATGTTGCTGAAGTTTTTTTACCTTTTTGATTCTAATATGAAATTAATTACTAGTTCTTGTTAAAACTCGTGGAAAAATTAAGTAAGGTCTTCTTCTTCTTCTTCTTCTTCTTCTTCCTTTATTGGGCTATATCCCACAGGATAATTTATCCAATCAACAACGGGGAGAATATGTTTGTCTTGCTTTTAGCAATTGGACACCCTCTATTAAATTGATATATTTATATATTTCAATGTTAAAAGCTTTTTAATGTTACTACTTGAGTTGAACACAACCAGAAAACTGCCAACGGTAAATAGAAAGAGCACCTAGGACTGAAAGAGAGGATAAAGTATTAGGGTTATAATTAAATTTTAAGTGTATTTAAAAATTTGATTAGAATGTTTATTCTGCTATTATTGAGGCTAGCCAACATAAAACAAATGTCAAAGGGAGTAGAAAGCTTTGTTTTTGCCAGTTCAGAGTTTAAATCAAAGTTTGCCATCATATGTATGGGAAATTCAAAGATAATGTGGTTTGATGAGCCAATTTGACCACACTCACAAAATAGATTATCTTTTACTCCTATACGAAATAAGTGATATGGGGATAGGCAATGTCCTGTCATCCTAATTATTGTAGTTAAATATCTTCTGTCCTTGTAGGGAAAATTTAAAAACCAAGGGATTTTATAAAATCGTGGAACGACTTTAGAATAAAAGGAATTCTTCCTACTCTTGAGGCTATTCCATTCTTCAAGCCATCTTGAATTCACAATGTTTCTAATAAATGGAAAGAAATTATGATAGTTTAATTTGATATTCACTATATTTGCTAATTGATCTGCCTTGAAGTTACCCAGAATCCCAGAGTGGCCTGGAATCCATGCCAGAATTATTTTGATATGTTCATCTTTTTCGAGTAAGATACCTTCCTTAGTCAAGAAGGTACAATGTTCAGTTTCCCTGAAAAAGCATGATCCTGCCTTTTTTGTGAAGTGCAGTCTGAGAGGATAATGGATTGAACAATGTTTTTGTCTAGTATTACTTGCAAAGCCTTGTTGATAGCTCCAACTTCAGCTGTACAAATTTAAGTATGGAGAGGAAGCTTACTTGAGAATGCATAATCTATATCTGGACTATACACTCCAAACCCTGAGTGACCGGAAAAGTCTATTGAGCCATCGGTAAAGAACTTGGTGTAAGATGGGTATTTCCTGATGATATTCTGATACTGCACAATTCCTATACTTTCAGATTTAGTAGCGCCAATGTTTACGATAGGAATGGAGGCCAGTTGGGGTTGGAAATCAAATTTATAACATGATAAAAGCTCTGAAGTACATAGGTGAGGATTCACGACATTGAATTGACTGATGAGCTGAATTAGTAGAGGATTACTTTTGTTGTTCCAGTAGGTAGAGATCCCACATAATCTTTCTAGTTTTCTTAAAACAGTAATAATGGGATTGTTTACCAAAGACTTTTTCTACTTTATTTGAATGCACTATGTGATTTTTCTCTTGAAATCGCAGACTTAACTAGAATTCAGAGAATACAGAAATCTTGTATAAGATTTTCATATAGAATACTAAAATTCAATAGAAACTCACACTAACTCAATGATTCATACTTTGACATCTTTTGTTTGATTGGGGATTGATTTTTTTGTCTGTATTTCGTTTCGTACGATTTAATCGGCTACTAATATTAATAACGAGTAGATGGTGTATGCAAC